AAAAAAAAAAAAAAAAAAAAAATTGATTTTTGTCCGGCCGGCTCGCGACCGGCCGGGGTCCGTCCGGCCGTCGGTTCCGGACGGACCAAAAGCCGGCCGGTTCGGCCGACCGGACAACCTGTGGTCCGTCCGGAACCGACGGCCGGACGGACCCGGACCGGCCGGAACCGACGGCCGGCCGGTTCGGCAGGTACAAAAATAAATTTTTTAAAAATACTTCCGGCCAAAAAAAAAAATTTACCTTGTTGGAGAAGAATCCTTTGCCGAGGCCGTAGAATTTTTTCGACATATTTTTGGATTTTTTTTTATGCTCGAATCGTTCGTTGAAGTTCGGAAGTTTAGAGAGATAGAAAGTTTAGAGAGATGAAATCAAAAAAAGGGTTAAGGGCAAAAGAGTAATTGAGGGGGGCGGTGACTAGTAAAAGGGGGCGGTGAATAGCGATTGAGTTTTTTTTCACAGATGTGTAACAAATCAACCCGCCTAGTTATTAGATTGTTCCACATGACAATTCCGTGTTCTGCTTTTGAGTCTGATAGCAAATATATATAAAAACTAAAAAGATGGGTAGATTTATATTTCTGTTTCTGTATGTCACACGACGCTTCTGTTTTTGATTTGGCCCTATAAACAAACTCGAGAGAAATTATTTTCCAATTTTATGTACTTTTACATGCTACCAGTGGCTATAATAACATGCCATAAATCGTGTGTTCTAATTGAAAGAAAAACTTGGGCAGTTGGCCGCACGCGAGCCTAGTTAGAGCCAAACTCCCGATTCCACTTTTCTAGTTCTTTCCACTTGCTTTTCTGCAAGCTGGGACGAATAACAGTCATCGCCTTTTGAAAATCTCCGTATCTCAATCCTCTCACCTGTAACAAAGCACGATTCAGGATTTTTGCTCGAATTATAGATCAGCAAATTGCATGGCCTAACGATATATATTTTAGAAAAAATGGAAAAAAAAAAAAAAGATAAGAAAACCTGATTGGCCTGGACTGTGAGAATGTTTGAACCAAGCTCTCTAATCGGCATCATTGCAGCTTCTTCGCACAAGGCCTGTAGGTCACTTCCAGAATACCCTGTAAAAGCAACATTTATGATGATGGTGATGAGCTTAATCAAATCTCTGGAACAATATTACAACATAAATGGAACTGAATCAACAAATCTCCACAAATTTCACGAATGTTGCTGCTAAAAAAATGTGCAAGATTTTCCTTTAGAAATAATACAGATTTCTTTGTTCCATCGACCCATAAAAACGCGACCATTAAATAAAAGAAAAAAGAATATAAATCTTCTTGACGTTGTGATGTCTAGATAATCACATCAAGGAAACCTTTATAAAATGATCGTGCCTTACCATCTGTTTCTGCAACAAGCCTCTCGAGATCCCTATCTGTTACCCAAGAACAAAAACAATTAAATAACTTCCAGTCAAAAATAAAAAATAAAAAATTAAATAACGGAATTATTATCCGAGATTCACGGATCCTGGAGCAGAAATGTAATGCCCACCTGGCAAAGAAAACGCATTTCCCTTGAGCTTATGTTTCAAAAGAACTCCTCTGGCGTTTCTATCTGGCAAAGGTATGTATATTCTCTTCACCTGTGCAATAATTTGAACACAAAAATTAAAGACGTGTACTTACTTGAAGTGATACCAGCTCTCTATCAAGCTTACATGGCACTTTAGCATGTTTTACCCAGTATATATTTCGAAAATGTATGTTTACAGCATCAGATCGAATAATCACTACTATAGAAATAATTATGCAGTGATGATAAAGAACTAAGGAAAATCACATTTACCACAAACCCCACATAAGTTCATGACCTAATCATTGGCGGAAAAACCAGTTACCATTGACAAATTTCAAATGTCTCCTATCAACAATGCTCTTGGGCAGATAGTTTTAAAGGCTCATATATAGGATGCTGATACCACGAACTTCCAAAACATGCACATCAACTAAGTTTTTGGGAATGGACCATAGATACCAGATTTTTAGAGTTCAAGATCTCTTTCGAAAATTTCAATGACTATTAACCACTTAAGCTACGTTTGTTTTGAGAGATTTGAAATTCCTTGATTTCAAAATTTTTGAAATATAATTTTTTTACTTGCACACTCGAACATGGATGTGTTGAAATATTATAAATCAGTTGTCAAGCTCGCACCGATGGTGTTGACTCGCGGTGGTGATGAACCTAAATGATTGCGTACGGCGTGGTCGTCAACGGTGATAAACAGTGAATTTCGAATGACTAGGTTTGAGGAGTCATATAAAATCCTTCAAAATAATGACTAAACAATATCTAGCATGAATTTGAAATCCTCCAACATGCATGGGGATTTGAACTTGTAAATTTAAAATTTATAGATTTCAAATTCCTCAATAAATCCTTCAATCCAAACGTAGCCTTAAGGATTATTGCCCCAATCAGTTCATAAAGATGCACAAGAAATAACTTAATGTGCTAACCAGTCTTCTTAGAACTGCATCATCTAATTCTTGTGGTTTATTTGTAGCACCTGAAATAGAATAAGAAAACGTGTCAGAGTAGACCCACACTGTGTACTAATTTTTAGACAAGTTTACATAAGCTTGATGTCAAGAAGCGCATGATTTAGAAAAAAACAAAAAAATGCTCAATGGTAGGAGTAGCATTATTCTTCAGAGCTAAGCTAAGCATGAAATTAGAGTAACTAACATGCTTAACAAGGTGTAGTGCTCAGGTTGATAAACTTACCAATTACAGTTATTAAATCACCAGAGCTAGATGTTACCCCATCAAACTGAACTAGAAACTCCGATTTCAACCTCCTACTTGCTTCATTCTCATTCTCCGTTCTAGTTGACATGATACTGTCAATCTGTACCACATAAACGTTATTAACTTAATGTATAAGCAGTTATTCACGAATCAGCTAGAAGAAACATACAAAAACACATGGACCCTGCAATTGACGTCCACCACAGTATAATACCTCATCCATGAAAATTACAGATGGCTGCCTAGCAATGGCGACCTGGAAAAGAGTTCGAACAAGCTTTTCACCCTCTCCCACCTGACATTATAAGGGCTTCAGACATCATGCGAAAACAGAAGAAGTGGTTACCCAACCACAAGGGTGGGTTTGGGGAGGGATGAGAAGGAAGAGTGACAAGACGGACCCACTTCGATGTCAGAGAAGAGGCAGAAACACTAAAAAAGGTAGCATCAGATTCTGAAGCAACCGCTTTAGCAAGAAGGGTCTTCCCTGTACCAGGCGGTCCAAAGAGAAGCAAACCTGCCAAAATATAAGTCTGAACCTTTAGCTCAAATAAATATAAATGTAGCTCAGGCTGCTTTTAGAAGAATATATTTTGAACTTTGTTTAGTCTGATTTCTAGAATTGGAAGTGTAATGAATTAACAGGATATTCTTGTTCCTGATTTTAGGGAGCTAAAAAAGAGGTGATAAAGAATAATAAGTATTTGAAACTCTCTACATTTCCCTCACATCCTTTTAGGGAAAAAGGAAGTTGAAAATTGACATCCTCACCCAAACTTCACCCAACCCTCCAATGTATTCCAAGTTAATAAAGTTTAGTGGTAATGATAGACATGGACTACGAAATTAATTTTGTAATATTACCTTTCGCTGGTTTTCGAAGCCCAGTAAATAGGTCTCTTCTCTTAGTTGGCAGAATAACCATTTCCATTAAAGCTTGTTTTGCCGTCTCGAGACCAGCTGCATGAAACTTTCATATCAATAGCAATTTTATAAAAAGAAAAGAAAAGCTCCAATGAGGAAGTGAGAGCTGCTAACCAATATCATCCCATTTAACTGAAGGGCTTTGGTCGATTATCACAGAGTTTATCATCTCAACCAGTTTAGCATCATAGACACCACCAGTTGTTGCTATAGGCCTTGATGTCTTTGCATCATTAGCCTGACTATTCACTATAGGACCACTGCTCTTGCCTGAAGACCTTTGTACTGCCATTTTTCTTGGATGTGAAATTGTAGATGAAACTGCCCCAGTTTGTGACTTAGAGGAAGTGCTCTATGAAATACAGATTGAAATAAAAGAAAAAGACTGATGAGGTAATGACCAAGTGGGAAGACTCCGTTACATTTTCCATAGAGTGTAAAAGAAAAACATGAAGAAAGGAACCTCTTCCCTCACACCTTGATGCATAGAATAACCATGATAAATCTTAACTAACTTTTCCTACTTTCATAAGCATAAAACAATTATCTGAAACTCTACCATCAAGCAAAATTACTTTAACACGGGTTATTTTGTTAAATCAGGCCTAGACACAATCCAGAGATTAAAACTTACACGTCAGTTAGAGCAGTCCATACCTTGATTTCTGGTGATATACCTAAGATAACCGACAAGGCAAGCAGGAGAATAAAAGAAAAGTTAGTTTTCTTTTGTCATCAATAGTCTTTTCTTAAATCATAAAAACAAATATGCAAAAGAATGAGAACCTGTTCTCTGAGACAAAGTCTGCAGTCTCTCTGCTACTTGGCCCTGCCATTTAGATATCTTTTGACGGTAAGATTTCACCTTCTCCAGTTCACTAAAAAAAAGTAAGTTGAAACAAAGAACTAAGTGAATATACGAATATGTTGCAGAAACAGCAATTGTAACTGCTTCACATTTCATTGTACATGAAACCCACATCGCGATACTCTTACGATCATCTTAATATTGTACTTTTGAAAGTTTAGTAAACTGCATGTCGCAGACGGTTTAGCTAATCATGCATAACTGCTTACTCCTTCCACTGCCATTCACCCTTTCAAGATTTAACTAGTACCAGAAGATTCCACTTCTACGGTGATTAAAGAAACCTCGGGTACGAATAAGATCATGCAAATGAACTGTAAGCATTATACACACGAATAGTTCTCCAAGATGCAAAAACATAGAGGGCTACCTATTTGTTAAGGACATTAAGTGATTTGAAATCGACCCAAGGAGAGTAATCAGATCCTTGCTAACTTAACATAATGCATTATGCACATGTCCTCGGCAACCAAAAACAATACGTTTTTGCCATTTATTCCCAAAAGATATCTTAAATGATCCCCGCAGTCACAGTTCATCAATGTAACAAACTACAGAACTATTGTATTAATTCATTGACATTAAATCTTCATCTGAACAAAGAGATGCCCATAACTTACGTTAGAACAGGAAATCATAATTCACATGCACAGATAAAAGGTTCTACTACCTGGAGGAGATGTAAGAAGGTACTGGAGTGGAAATCGCTTCCGTCAAAATTCTCTGCGCGTTCAGATAGCGAGCGATGGCGTCATCCGGCAAACCCCACTCTTCAGCTCGAACGGCCTTAGCAATTTCCTCTTTCGCCAATTCGAAGTAGCCTTTCAGCTTGTATGCAGTCCGCTCGTTCCCCGTGGAAACTCCGCCCTCGCCATCCATGGCTCCGCCGCCGGTGGTGGTGGAGCTACTGCTCTGCTGTGACTGAACCGAATCGGAGAAGATCGAGCTGAAGTTTCCGATTATCTCTTTCAGGAAGCTCATTACTAGCAGGCATCAGACCGTCCGATCAACCAAATTTTAGGTTTACGGCGAAATAAATTTCGAACAGACGATCAAATTCTTACCCGTTTCGCCGGAAAATTGTGCATTTCGTTGCTTGATAATCAAGGCTCGAGTCTGAAATTCGTCGCCGTCGCCTGATTGATTTCGGTATAGAGCAGAAATCACGCGCTAATTCCAAAATCGTACACTCCCGAAAACATATTCCTCGTTTTTTTTTCCTCTTTGATATTGGATCTATCGGCAGGTAGGCATATAAACTAGACGAGTCGAGCTTTAGGGTAGTTGAGCTCGAGACCTTAACAAGTCGAGCTCTTGTTAAATAAATGAGCTAGAAATCGAACTCGTGGCTCGTTAAAATCTCGAGTTTGAGTCTTCACGAGTCGATCTTGTGCTTGACTCAGCCGAATTATAAAAAATTATATAAAAATTTTATTTCAAGCATCTACGAGCCTTATCGAGATGAGTCGAGCTCGGCTCGTCAACCAAACGAGCTTTAAATGAGCTCGAGCTCATCTTGTTAAGGTCTCGAGCTCGAGCGGAGTCTAGTCAGGCTCATTTAATTTAACAAAACTAATTGATAGAAGATGTGTTATTTTTATTAAAGTTTTGAACTTAGTAGAATTTAAAGTCTTAATTAGTCAAACAAAAAAAATGTGAGAATTATATTTTCGAGACTTAAACAAGGTAAAGTTTGTCTCCGATGATCAAACGAGTCGAACCGAGCTAACCAATGGTTCATTTCGTTTAATAGATCTAATATCGAATACATTTTGATTGTCAATCATAATTTAATTGTGGCATAGAATCAAGCTCATTAATCATGTGGCATATATATATGGTAAGTAAATATATAAGATATATAATATTTAATCATTCTCCTAAATGATTAGGATTCCATAATACACATTATAATAAATATATACCATACATTATAAATAATAAATATTAGGAACTTAATTAATTAACAAGTAAATAAATAGAAAACTTCCCTTTAATTTATTTATTTTGCTTGCCTAACAAGAAAATCTTAGCACTTAGGTTTGTCGGATGATGCCAAACCAATATTCTTACATGAACCATTTTCGGCTATTTTTCACAATAGATTATATGACTTGTT